CATGCATATGTATATATAAATTGAATATATCAATACTGGTATATACATGCACAAGCATACATAGTTATGCACAAATATAGCTTCAAATCGCAAGCTGTGCTGTTCGAGCAAGTGTATCTAAATTCTTGCAATTCTTTCGTCCTGTTAGAAATGACGCTGAGGCAGGACGTAGAGCGTGAACTCGCCGCTATCAATGGTCTTCTCATTGATTCTCGCAAGAAGGAGGTATGCTTTTCGCATCTCTGACAATAAGAATCCATGGAGCAGGGGAACATACTGAACATAAATTTTGTCGAAAAACGTCCATTGAATCTCATTTGCGAAATACGTCGCCACGTTAGCTGAGACAGTCACTGTACAATGTGCACATGTTTAATCGATTCCTGAAACTAACATTTGCAGGCTGCTGCTGTGGAGTCACTGGCCTCGCAGGAACCACCTGCACTCACCGAAGATCTCAACTACTTTTGACAGGACCATGCAGAAGATACTGTACTTTTTCCTTGGAAAGGACATATATGGTCCTGAGAATTAAATAATGGTTAGCGTCTGTTACCATTTCCAAGTATCAGGCCTAACTTTGGATAATGCTATACACACTTCAGCTCTTACATTACGACATGTGTCGAAAGTGCGGTACTCGGGTTGTGAGAGCGCACTCTAAGTGAGAGCGATCGAAGTGATCGAGATTCGTGGAAGGACAACCCTCATGCACAGGGGCTGTTTGAAAAATACGAACACACACATCTAACTAACGGCTGAGAAACTTTTTTTTCCACCACACGCCGTGTTAGGGATCGGTTAAGAAGGAGTACTGCAACCATCGCGCCTTTCTTTGACTCGCTGGCTGTACACAAATTAAATTAACATGATTGCGACGTGCCGGAACACTGACGGCGGTATACAGTGAACCATAAAAGCAGCTAAAGATAATTACCATGAGCTACTACACTACTAGCACGATGTATTGACGATTGATACAAAGCAACAACCTCATAAAGACGTGTAACTGCAATATATATAAATATATCGAATACATATGTACCTTTTTAAACCACATTTAATCACAAATTGAGGAATGAGTGTATGGATGACTCGCCCTGTTTTATAACTTCGTGTGAAATACTGAAAACATAATTACAAAACCTCATACGTTATGGTAGTTCAATGTATACGTTGAACGTAAACAGATGAAATATTGATAATTATTTGTTTTTAGTTAATATACATTTGTGCCTTGAACGTATTACTGTACGTTCTATAACGTGAAACGTAATGATGCTATTTATCACATTTTTATAAAATTAATACGATTTTTGATATCCGTTGCCATAGCCTGGCTCGCCTCTTGACCAATAAAAGTCCAATTTTGTATTCACGCAAGACTGCACGACAGAGAGAGGAGTTAAATATCGAATTAATAGAGAACGATACTGTAGGCCTGTGACCTGTCAGTGCTGTCAGCCTGTCACTGAAATGATACATACAATGATTACGCATTTCAACAGAAGTAAATATTAACAATTATCCCCACCCACCCATACTCACTCGGCCGCATGTGTATGTGTAGTGAGAGATTTATATAAATATATATTAGATAGTGCAGAACGAGAGGACAGGTTATCCGTACAAGTATATTGTAGTAGGTTTAAGCTCCTGATAATCTCGAGATCGCGAGAAAGAGAACTCGGAGCCGGATCACAGGGAAAGATAGTATATATCTATATATTTAAATATATCATTAATGTCTTTCCTTGGTGCAAACATAGACATGACCAAAACAATAGAAAGTAGCTGGAGTGTGGCAACACTATGTGTGGCACTGTTTGCGAATCGTGCAATGTGTATGCCGATGATGGATGGTCAAGAAGAGATCACGTCTAAGACACACGTGAATGGGATTGCATCAGCATCCACCTCAACACAACCCATGAGCAACGACGAGAAAAAACAGATCCAGATGATAGTTATCATCTGCGGGGTAGTAGCTATAGTATTACTACTCGTAAGCATTTGCTACTGTATGGTGACGCGATACCGTTCTAAGAGACGTAGGGGCAATGGGCTGACAGATGAGGACGAGTATGCACGCAGATGGCAGAAAAAGTATCCTCCAGGCTCGACTATAGTTCGATCAAAGATCACAAGCGCATCAAATCCCAAGCAAAATGCACATCTTACCTTTGCTGAGGTAAGTCACTTGCCTCCCGTCAAAAGTAAGCGTTATACACGCGACAAAAACTGTGTGAGTGTTGTGCCAGAGAAGTCAAAGCTGAAATTTGAGGTTCCCTGGAAAGCTGGGGTGGCTAGTGTGTGTAGTCTCTCAATAACACATCTATTACCATCGTACGTGTGGAAGCAGGAAGATGGACGTGTACACGACGTAGCATACTATGAAGTTACTATATTGCAGCTCGCATACAGTCATGACTCTCGCATTGCCATAGGGGTAGCTTCCAAACCATATCCGAGCTTTAGGTTGCCTGGATGGAATCCAAATAGTTCGGCAGTGCATTCGAATGACGGGCGTGTACACTCATCCTTCTCAAGAGATACAGCAAGTGCTGAGGCATCTAAACGCCCACTCTCTGCAGGCGATACGCTGGGATGCGGTTTCGTGCCGATGAAAGGTACGCCTTTGCTGTGATTGTATATGTGCAGCAAGTGGATTTTATAAATATATTTTTTAGCTCACAATGGTTTACAACCGCTGCTTAGGCAAATGAAAATGTAGATTGACGGCATCAGGCACGTATGTGTTGCTACGTGTTTGCTTCGAGTATATGCATGCATATTTGTACCTATATATAGCATATTTTATCAGGATGTTAATTCGCATATTCTTTTGGATACAACGGAATGAGAATTTAATACATACTAAACATTGTCTGTTTCACGTGGAGAAGGCTTTTGCACGTGCTTCCAAGCAGAGAATTAAATTCGCGCATTTCAAATACATACTATTTAAAACATACAGTTTTATTCACAAACTCCATCCTTTGTCTCAGATTTAACGGATACTTTTAACCGCTTGAGATGGAGCAGAATATGTTGCCTATAATATTAAAATATATTCACTTCGACAAAACATACTATAAACTCATCTCACTGATGCAACCACTCTTGGAGTTCCAACTTGTTTGTGGTTTCGCGATAGATCCTGCACGAATTTTGCAGGAGCTGTGTTTTCGCTTTAAACTTCTATTTTCCTGTAATTCACTGAATTCCATACAACGATCCTATCCTTGGCAGGCTCTGGTCCTGCATCTCCCGTCACGTGCTTCTACACCCTCAACGGTAAGCTGATACACTATCAAGACACAGTGAAAGGTGGTGCCATGGACAACATATATGCCTGTGTGGGCGCAGACTGCGATGCTGAGTTGGCTTACAACTTCCGAGGGGGTTTCACGTACGATGCGATTAGTCATCAGTCGTTGCAGGTATGAGTAGTCAAACCAGCGTATAGCTTATCCGATACTTTCAAGAATCGATCTTTACGTGACTTTATCTATTAGTCTACGGCTCCACTACGCTTGTGAGTGCGTGGGCTGCTTCCATAGTCATTCTAGGTCACTCTAGTCCACGGTAGTTGTATATGAATGACAATAGGAGTTAATTATGGATGTCCGTTGCGGTGTACGATATTAGGTATTTGCAGATCTGGCTTGACAGATTAATGTTTTTATAAGTCACCAGAGCGTTAGATCACACGGGAACGAGCAGGCGCGTAGATTGTGCATCCTCAGTGTGTGAGTATGTGTACATAACAGTCCCATCTATGACTGCGTTTTATTAGTGCATGGTGTAGTGAAACACAAGTATCAGTTGGTGTAACCCGTGACCTATATGTGGCAGTACAAATTCTCCAATACTGTGTATTTAATCTTGTAGTAGCTATGGGGTATCGCTTTGGTCAGTACTCGTTCAGACACGCAAAGGCATCGTTCTCATTCAGCTTTGCACTCTCCACTATCAGACGTACGAGAAACCGGAGACGAGCGTTGTTAAGAACTCAACGAGTAAGGGATTCTCCACCATTCTCGCTATACCGCTACAACCCGAGGACAAGAATAGCTCACCAGACAACCACGCGCTATCTACTATGGATGGGGAGGCATAGGCGAAGCCACACGAAAGTGCGTCCATCAGGGAGTACTTAGCTCTCACACGAAAGTACAAACTAACCTTTGGGTACATAGTAGAACCACCACAGCAATGGGCACAAATGCAGCAGGGTATCGCGATAGTCTCCCGATGCACGCAGCAGCATGAACAACAAAAGACACATGAAGGATGAATACTCATCACAGTATAGAAAAACAACGGTCTAAATTTTCCTAGAGTTCATATTCAACATACACATAGGCATGTGACAAATTGATGATGCGAGTTGCACACAGCATTCCAGACATGACTAGGTAAAAATGAATAAATTGCTCTATATATAGGATCACACACATTACAATGGTAGCCACCACTTGTACATTACATCAGTATATTCCCATAGGACACATATGTCGATTTTTGAACAGAAGATGCATAAATCATAATAAGCGCAGATGCCACCACGCTGAAACACACACTCACTTTTACAATGTCCATGCTACCATAGACCTGTACTACATACAATTAAAGCACCAACATTACATTGCCTGCACATTACGTTTTATTTCTGTGGATACACGGTTATACAAACATTGCAGCAAGCTCAGAACCTATGTACCAAACACGCATGTTATACTCTAAAACATGCGTGCAAGTTTCACGACTTCCGTTATAAATTTATGCATGTAGACCAGCAATTAAATATTTAGTTGGGCTTCTTGCGGAAAGAGCATCCCTCGGTAAGACGGGTCTTTCCACCGCGAGGCTGGCACAGAATCTGTGCGCATGAGCCACATAGCACTACGGACTGAGCGTGACTGAACACAGTGGTGATGTTGAAGCATCCTGTGTGACACGACGTACGAATATAGAAGAATGTATAAGTAAGGTGCAGTGAATACAGAAAGAACAAGCAGGGATAAAAGGTATCTGATCAAATACATGTATAGACGTACGGTATCAATTACAAGTACAGACACGACGATAAAGTGACGAAATCAGATGCAAACATACAGGATTATACGAAAACACAGTTAAGGTGAACCATGCATACATATCTATCACATATTTCAAGGATCTATATTACCATATCTATATCAAATAGTTACGACTATTTTATAAAAAAATAGATAAATACATGTGCATGTAAAAAAATACGTATGTATGTGATAAGAATTGAATGAGTAACAAGATACATACCAGGACATTTGACATCCATGAAGAACGAGTCGGGTCCCTGCACCAGTCGCTTAAGCTTGTGCTGCGAGGCCTCGTGCTCAGCGGAGGGGTACAGAAGATCGTGAGTTGCCTGTGTAATTGTAGTATTCAGATTGAGATTGTGTGAATATATGATGCACAGATTGAGATTGTGCAAGTACTACGGATATTAGTGCTATCAAGCTAGTGAGTGAATGTATATGATTTGTATTATATCGCTGAGTATATTGTTGTCCGTATGCGGTGGGTACTGGGGTGATGCTTAACCTCTAAAATACAGTATCATGATGCACAGTCTTATCCCTAGATCACTGTGCAGTGTAAAAGTATTCCAGCATAGTAATGTATCGTTTGTAGCATAGGCAACTGTTTCTTGCGTCAACAGCATTTTATGCACTTTTTTGAATGTTCATCTTGAGGGCAATAGGCTGATTGACAATTACCGACATGACTTTGACTGAGGATACATCAATGATACATGCTGATAAGTATACGAATATGATTCTATATTTCACCCACCTAATTTATGAATTTAGAATTGGCTGTGTGGAATGGGTTTGATGTACTCATACGCTATGAGTTGGGCTGTGTCAGCAAGGGACCTATGACATCTTTCATCTTATTATTCTATCACGTGGATGGGCGTACATTGACGTCGTGTGCCGCTAATCTCTCATTCTGACATCTTGTCGTTTTCGGTTCGCTGTCTGTTTCTGAACACACACTCCTTATACTATATTGCTGTAACTGTATTAACGATGTATATCACATTGCAAGAAACTATCACACCACATACAGGCATGATGTCAACTCGATGATGTTCAAGGAAAAGAGGACATAGGTGTACATTCGAATCGGAATATATATCTAAGCTTGATTATTTCCAATGCAATATATCCCACATGGACTCAGTACCAACACAATGGGCTATTCCAAAAAAAATGTTACACATACAGAAAACGTACTCGTAAACGTACTCAAACGTATGCAATTGTTTCAAGAATTATTAGAAACCGTAAAAGCTTACCACCATTATTTTTCCTTCTACCTACTCTGGGGTAATAGCTTTTTTGTTTTTGGAATTTTAGTTCGAGATTGTGTGAACAATTGCTGCACACAAGCGTGTATTTATATACACTCGTAAATAACCAAGCCATTGTCATACAGGCACAAGCCAAACCAACCAAGCCGTTGTCCTGAAGGCACAAGCCAAACCAACCAAGCCGTTGTCCTGAAGGCACAAGCCATGACTAATAACAACACTATAATTGATTTCTTTCATTAGAGGAGGATGAACGTCTCAGAAGAGCTCAATTACAAATAGTAGTTATATAACAGGTTTATATGGACTCACGAATGTATTGCGTAGACAAGTATGAATTATCGTAGAATTGAGCGAGTTATTTATCACCCATCCACTCAGAAGTTCTTTATAACTGCATCAGAGAAAGTTCGCAAAAATTTCGGTATCTTTCCTCGAGTGTAGGTACTTTACAGACAAGAGCACATATGAGGCTGCTCGACGATTCAGCGTTCCGCTATCGTCAGAAATCGCATCTACGTGAAATGTCGTTGTGAGTTCGCTACATACTTTGTATACTTAGTATCTTATGCTGGTATAAAAGTGGATTTTATAACGTACTTATTGTTCTATATGTACTGACAGTACTAGTCAGTTCTTGGTAACATTTCTACACATAATATCAGTGTATGATCAAGGTCTAGTATCTGTACTGTTGGTACGCTATTTCTTGGGCGGGTACGGTGTCTATTTTTGCAGAGTGCCTGTGAGATCACTTGTTATAACCACTATGAGAGGTACTTTTAACATTGTAAATGCGGATATATATATATATATATATGTATACACGCACACACGCACACACACTCATATATATATATACATATATATACATACGCGCGCACACACACACACACATATATATATAA